GTTAATACAAGACAGTCCAGATAAGCTCGACTGGAGCTCCTTACCCATTCCAGTTTCCCCTTTTCATACAGAATATGCGGGACAGTAAAAGTAGCGGAGATGACGTTGCCGTGGAGTGATGGTTTCAATGCAAAATAATCTTGACCTGCCGTCTCAGAGTCGGGTCCCCCGTGAGGACTCCTATTTTTATGCTTAAAAGCAGGCGTGACGGAAATATCTCGCGCATCACTCCTCCAGCGGGCGATCTGCTCAGAGTCGTGCCTTTGGGGCAAGTTGGGCTTGACGATAGCTGTCCTTGCCGACATGGCAAACTAAAGACACTGATGAAGGGTTTTAGCGAAAAGAATATTGGACTAATCCAGATGGGTGCTAGAGCTGCAAGTCGAGGTGAGCTGAGTCAAAGTCTCTTCGAAGTCTAATTAGATAACATTTCTCGGCGGTGTAATTATGTCATCAACATGAGGCCATTGCAGCTTTGTGTTGTGCAACGGCGATCGGCGGCTGCGGGAAAACAGGAGTACTGTACAGTATTTGAAAACATATACTTGTCTTCGCCTCAGCGGGTAATTTGAGCGGCAGCCTTGTGTGTCATTACTGGATTATCCATAGCCCGAAAGCCAGGTCTTCTTGCTCCGATTGGGTTATCTTGCTCGCAGGCGTTGCTAGGCTGTTTCCCTGACCCACATGTTTCGCCGGGAACCTCCCTCTCTCGTCTCGGACACCCAAGCAGCTGAACGGTTGTTGCCAATTGATGGACGCGCCGCTTTGCATTTCTTTTGACGGCTTTTGGGCGGTACAAGTTCGCCACCGCTACGTATATATAGATGCTCTGACATGCTAAGGGTGAATCTCCGTGTAGGATACCCGTACGTAGCGGAGAGGAACTTTCGCCTGCCTAGAAAACGTTCAAAATCGCGATGCCAAGAAACAGGTACACGGTGTCACGGCAGAACAGTAGGCCACTTACTGCGCCTCAATGGAGAACAAATCGGAGCGGGAGTTCCCACGGCCTCCCTGTTGTTGATATAGTAGTCACGCCCATCCATGGTGGGGTGCCCACTTTTGGGCACAGTAGCTGCTGACCTCCTAACCAAGTACAGGATCGCCCTCGATTGCGACCAGTGGAGCTGGATTTAAGACGGTAGTTGACGGCTATAGCTTGGTCATCATTCTTGACCCACCTAGTGGGCTATCTCAACTGCCGAATATCACTGATTCGGAAGCCCCTCTCCGACCGGTTTTGCCCCCACTATTCTACTGCTAGTGCGATCTTGATTTGATAGTAAATCGAGAAACAGAGTGGCGAAGGCAATCCCCTTCAAGTACCGAGTATTCGTTAATGTAGGACGCCACGAACCAATGGCCACGAACTAATGGCCTCTCTGAACGGTAAGCGTATCCTGCACCGTTCCTCACCCTACCTGTTTTAGGGAAGGGGAACAAACAGTAGCCTATTCCGGTTAGCTACAACCGGCTGCTTAAGTTTTTTAAGGGCAATGGTTATTTAAGTCCGATGTATTAGTTACACTGTACGTCCACTTCTGTAGGTTGGGGTTATAACGTTATAGCAGCAGTGCTTTTACATCTCCTACTCAGGTTATACTCGACAAGATACGGTCAAATACTTATCGCCACCCTCTGTAAACCGTACAGATTAGAGCAACGACGTGTGCCACTAATGATGGAGGTGACAATTAGGTTCTTGACGTTCTCTTGTGCGCTAGCCGTCACTCTAACTTTCTACCTACCACTACATTCCGACAACGGGCTACAATCTCACGATATTCCTGACGTCGTCTCCTATCCAAGCTAGATCACTTTGGTCTTCCTATACCAAAAGGAACTCTTAATTACGCTCGAAAACACACAACTAGCTGGTACCGCATTTACTGCAGAAATAGCCCTTACGATCGTGAAACGCATAATATTAATTCTCTCCAACTTATCGGCAACAGCATGTCCTCCTTCTCCAGAGTAGCCCAACGATCCTGCGCAGCCATGTGCCGACGGCTGGCTGTCAAGCCTTCGTCTCTCCGAACCTCCTTCAACGACCGGTTTGCGTCTACCATCAGTGCTGGAAGTGGCAAGATTCATCAGGTGCGTCGGGAGATGACACTTCCGGCCGGGTTGGTTTTACTAATGAGAACAAATCACACAGGTCATTGGTGCTGTCGTAGACGGTTAGTGACAACTTTGTGATCTGGCTCACAGGAGCCC